TATCTTGAGAAACAAGACAAAGCTCAAATAAACAATCCAACGTTACACTTGAAGGAACATGTAGAATAACAGCAAACTAAGCCCAAAGTGAGTAATAGAACAGAAATAATAAAGATCAGAGCAGAAATAAATGAGAGTAAAAAAAAAAAAAATCAATGAAACCAAGAGCTGGTTTTAAAAGATAAACAAGATTAACAAACCTTTAACCACACTCATCAAGAAAATAGAGTACCCAAATAAATAAAATCAGAAATGAAAGAGAAGTAACAACTAACCTCAAAGAAATATGAAGGATTGTAAAATGATATTATGAACAACCATATGCTAACAAATTGGACAATCTGGAAGAAACTGTACCTAGAACATTCAGTCTTCCATAAATGAATCAGGAAGAATCAGAGACTCTGAATATACAAATTACAACTAATGAAATTGAAGCAGTAATAAAAAATTTTTAAAAACTCCCAACAAACAAAAGTCCTGGCTTCACAGATGAATTTTACCAAATATTCAAAGAAGAGCTAATACCTATCGTCAAACTATTCCAAAAAATTCAAGAGGGAAGACTTCAGAGCTTATATTACAAGGTCAGCATTATCCTAGTTCCAAAACCAGGCTAAGACAGTGCAAAGAAAGAAACTTATAAGCCAATATCCCTGATAAACATAAATGCTAAAACCCTCAACATATATTAGTGACCTGGATCTAGCAATACGTTGCAAAGATCATACACCATTTTCAAGTGGGATTTATTCCAGAGATGCTAAATTGGTATAATATCTGCAAATTAATAAATATGATATACCACATAAACTAAATAAAGGATAAAAACCTCATAATTATGTCAAATGGAAAAAAGGCATCTGATAAAAACCATAACCCACTTATGATAAAAAAAACTCTCAGCAAAGTGGGAATAGAGGGAATATACCTTGATGTAATAAAGGCCATATATGACAAATCCACAGTCAACATCATACTCGGACAAAAATTACAAGCATTCCCCTTAGTCAACATAGTACTGGAAGTTCTAGTCACAGCAGTCAGACAAGAAGAAATAAAAGACATCGAAATTTGAAAGGAAGAAGTAACACTGTCATTATTTGCAGATGACATGTTACTATATATAGACAGCCCTAAATATTCTACTAAAAAACTACTAGAACTGATAAATTAATTTACTAAAGCAGCTGGATACAAAATAAATACCCAAAACTCAGTTGCATTTTTATACACCGTAAGAAATTATTAGAAACGGAAGCTAAGAAAACAATCCCATTCACAGTTGCTTCAAAGAGAATAAAATACCTAGGAATAAATTTAATAAAGGATGTAAAATACCTGTATTCATAAAATTATAAGACACTGAAGAAAAATAAATTGAAGAACCCACAAATAAGTTGTAGGATATATTGTGTTCATGTATAGGAAGAATTAACATCATTACAATGTTCATACTATGCAAAGCAATCTATAGATTGCAATTCCTATCAAGATACCAATGAGATATTTTGCAAAACTAGAACTAATATTCCAAAAATGTACATGGAACTCCCACCCCCTAAAAAAGACCCAGAAGAGCCACAGCAATTGTTTTTATTTTTTAATTAATTTTTGTTACAGTTGTTTCTCCTTTTTCCCCCACTGATACCCTCCTCCACGCCCTCCCCACCCTGTCCCCACATTTGTTGTCCATGTCCATTGTTCATGCATACATGCATATAAGTTCTGTGGTTTACCTCTCCCCCAACCCCCTCATCTGTGGATTGTCAGTCTGTACCCCACTTCCACGTCTCTGGGACTACATTCCACGTCGCCATTCGTCAGACTGTTATGTTCATTATATTCCCCAAATAAGTGAGATCATGTGATATGTGCCTTTCTCCACTTGCCTAGTTTTGCTTAGGATAATACTCTTCATATCATCTCAAAGGATAAGAGATCTTTCTTTCTTACAGCTGCATAGTACTCCATTGTCTACAATGACAGCTTTTTAAAAAATCTGTCTACTACAGCTTTTTTATCCATTTTTCTACTACTGATGGACATTTGGGCTGTTTCCAGATCTTAGCTGTTAGAAATAGTGCTGCTACAAACATGGAGTGCATATATTCTTTCTGATTGGTGTTTCAGGCCTCTTAGGATATATTCCTAGAAGTTGGATCACTGGGTCAAATGGAAGTTCAAGTTTTAAATTTTTGAGGTAACACCGTATGGTTTTCCATAGTGGCTGCACCAGTCTGCATTCCCACCAGCAGTGTACTAGAGTCCCCTTTTCTCCACACCCTCGCCAACACTTGTTTGATGATTTGTTGATGGCGGCCATTCTGAAAAGTATGAGGTGATACCCCATTGTTGTTTTAATTTGCATCTCTCTGATGATTAGTGATGTTGAGCATTTCTTCCTATAGGTCTCTTGGCCATTTGTATGTCCTGTTTGGAGAGGTGTCTATTTAGTTCCTCTGCCCATTTTTTTTTTATTGGATTCTTTGTCTTCCTTTTGTTGAGTTGTATAAGCACTCTATATATTGGAAATTAACCCCTTATTTGATATATCATTGGCAATGATGCTCTTCCACACACTGGGTTGCCTTTCCATTTTGATGGTTGTATCTTTTGCTGTGCACAAGCTTTTGAGTTTGATGTAGTCCCATGTGCTCATTTTCTCCTTTGTTTCTGTTCCCTTAGGTGATGTGTCAGTAAAAATTCTGCTGCTTATGATGTCTGAGGTTTTGTTGCCTACAGTCTCTTCTAGGATTTTTATGGATTCATGAGTCACATTTAAGTCTTTTATCCATTTTGAGTTTATTCTTGTGTATGGTGTGAGTTGATGGTCTAGTTTCATTTTTTTGTATGTAGCTGTCCAATTTTCCCAACAGCATTTATTAAAGAGGCTGTCGTTACTCCACTGTATGCTCTTGCCACCTTTGTCAAATATTAATTGAGCATATTGCCTTGGGTCCATTTCTGGGTTCTCTGTTCATTTCCACTGGTCTATATGCCTGTTCTTGTGCCAGTACCAGGCTGTTTTGATTATAGCAGCTTTGTAGTATAACCTGAAATCTGGTAATGTGGTCCCTCCTACTTTGTTCTTCTTTTTCAAGATTGCTGTGGCTATTCGAGGTCTTTCTTGGTTCCATCTGAACTTTTGAAGTATTTGTTCTAGTTCTGTGAAGTATGTCTTTGGTATGTTGATGGGGATTGCATTGAATCTATAGATTGCTTTGAGTAGTATGGACATTTTAATGATGTTAATTCTTTCAATCCATGAACAGGGTATGTGCTTCCACTTTTTTATATCTTCCTCTATTTCTTTTTTCAATGACCTGTAGTTTTCTGCGAATAGGTCCTTTATTTCTTTAGTTAAGTTTATTCATAGGTATCTTAATTTTTTTGCTGTGATGGTAAATGGGATTATTTTTTTAGTTTCTTTTTCTGTGAGTTCATCATTGGTGTATAAGAATGCCATCGATTTCTTGACGTTAATTTTGTATCCTGCTACTTTGCCAAATTCATTTATTAAGTCTAGTAAATTTTTGATGGAGTGTTTGGAGTTTTCTATGTATAGTATCATGTCATCTGCAAATAATGACAATTTCACTTCCTCCTTTCCAGTTTGGATCCCTTTTATTTTTTCTTCCTATCTGATTGCTGTAACTAAGACTTCCAGTACCATGTTAAATAAGAGTGGAGAAAAAGTGGGCATCCTTGTCTTGTTCCTATTCTTAAGGGAAATGCTTTTAATTTTTGCCCATTGAGTATGATGTTGGCTGTAGGTCTTTCATATAGGCCTTTATTATGTCGAGATATGATCCCTCTATTCTCAGATTGCTAAGCATTTTTATCAGAAATGGGTGCTGGATTTTGTCAAATGCTTTTTTCAGCATCTATTGATATGATTGTATGATTTTTTTTTTTTTTAATCCTCACCCAAGGATATTTTTCCATTTTTTGTACAGATAGAGTGGGAGGGAGAGAGAGGAAGGGAGAGAGAGAGAAACATCGACGTGAAGGGACACATCGAGTGGCTGCCACCCGCACAACCAACCAGGGCCGGGGACAAACTGCAACCGAAGTACGTGCCCTTAGCGGGAACCGAACCCGGGTCTCTCTGGACCGCAGGCCGACGCTCTAACCGCTGAGACAAACTGGCCAGGGCTGATTGTATGATTTTTATCTTTCATTTTGTTTACGTGGTGTATCACATTTATTGATTTGCAAATATTGTATCAGCCTTGCATCCCTGGGATGAATCCCGCTTGGTCGTGGTGAATAATTTTCTTGATGTATTCCTGGGTTCGATTTGCTAGTATTTTGTTCAGAATTTTGGCATCTATGTTCATTGGGAATATTGGCCTGTAGTTTTCTTTCTTTGTAGTATCTTTTTCTGGTTTGGAATTAGAATTATTCTGGCCTCATAAAACGAGTTTGGAAGTCTTCCTTCTTCTTGAATTTTTTGAAATAGTTTGAGGAGAATGGGTATTAGTTCTTCTTTGAATGTCCAGTAAAATTCCCCCATCAAGCTGTCTGGGACTGGGCTTTTGTTTGCAGGTAGTGTCTTGATTACATCTTCAATTTCTTTTGTTGTTATTGGTCTGTTCAAGTTTTCTATCTCTTCTTGGTTCAGTTTTGAGAGACTGTGTGTTTCTAGGAATTTGTCCATTTCACTTAGATTGTCGAATTTGTTGCCGTATAATTGTTCATAATATTTATTAACAATCCTTTGTATTTCTGTGGTGTCAGTTATTATTTTTCCTCTCATTTCTGATTTTATGTATTTGGGTTCTCTCTCTTTGTTTCTTGGTAAGTCTAGCTAAGGGTCCATCAATCTTGTTTATCTTTTCAAAGAACCAGCTCTTTATTTCATTTGAATTATTTTTTTTTTGGTCACCATGTCATTTATTTCTGCTCTGATCTTTACTATTTCCTTCCTTCTACTTGCTCTGGGGTTTTCTTTTTGTTTGCTTTCTAGTTTTTTAAGTTGTGAGGTTAGATAGTCTAAAAATATGGAATATTTCATGAATTTGCATGTCATCCTTATGCAGCAGCCATGCTAATCTTCTCTGTATCGTTCCAATTTTAGTATATGTGCTGCCAAAGCAAGCACAGCCATTTTGAAAAAGAAAAAAGTTGGAGGAATCATGCTACCTGATATCAAACCATACTACAAACCATAGTAATCAAAACAGCATAGTTCTGGTATAAAAACAGACATATAAATCAATGGAAGAGAATAGAGAACCTAGAAATAAACCTATGCCTTTATAGTCAATGAATATTTGACAAAGGAGACAAAACCGTACAATGGGGCAAAGATAGTCTTTTCAATAAATGGTGTTGGAAATATTGGATAGATGTATGTAAGAAATATGAGAAAATTAGAGCACCTTGATATACAAGAATATACAAGTATAAACTCAAAGTAAGTAAGAATTAAATATATATCACAAACCCCTAAAAATCCTGTAACAAAACATAGGCAGTAACATCTCATTTCTCATAGCAATATTTTTTCTGCTATATCTCCTCAGGCATGGGAAACAAAAGAAAAATAAACCAATGGAACTACATTGAACTGAAAAGGTTTTGCACAGCAAAGGAAACCATCAACAAAATGAAAAGACAAACCACTGAATATGAGAGAATATTTGCCATTGATACATCTGAAAAGGGGTTAATTTCCAAAATATATAAAGAACTCATACAACTCAACAAAAGGAAGACAAACAATCCAATGAAAGAAATGGGCAAAGGACTAAATAAACACCTCTAAAGAGGTTATACAGATGGTTAATAGACATATGAAAAAAATACTCAACATAGCTATTCATCAGAGAAATGCAAATTAAAACTACAATGAGATAATCACCTCACACCTGTCAGAATGCCTATGTCAGTAAGTCAACAAATAACTAGTGGTGGCGATGATGTGGGGAAAAGGAAATGCTTGTGCAGTGTTGGTGGGAATACAGACTGGTTAGGCTACTATAGAAAGCAGAATTGGGTAACCTCAAAAAATTGAAAATAGAATTGCCTTATAAACCAATGATTCCATTCTGGAAATATATCCTAAGAATCTCGAAATACCAATCAGAAAGCACATATGCACCTCTATGTTCATAGCAGTGTTATTTACAATAGCTAAGATCTGGAAACAACCCAAGTGCCCATCAGTGGATGACTGGATAATAAAGCTGTGGTACAGTTACACAATGGAATATTATGCAACTGTAAAAATTAAGGATCTCTTATCCTTTGAGATAGCATGAATTGTTCTGGATATTATTATTCTAAGCAAAATAAGCCAGTCAAGAAATACAAACACCACATGATATCACTTATATGTGGGAATCTAATGAACAAAATAAACTGACAAATAGGTGCAGAGACATGGAAGCATACAACAGACTGACACATTCACAGGAAAGTGGGGTCAGGAAGAGATTAACCAAAAAACTTATATGCATAGCCCATGAACACAGACAATAGTGCAGTGAAGGCCTGGGGTATGAAAGGAGCAGGGAGGAGGGGGAGAAGGGGAGAATAATGGAGACATCTGTAACACCCTCAAAAATAAAAATAAATAAATAAAAAACATGTAATGACAAGTGTTGGCAACAATGTGGAGGTGCCTGGCAAATTACACAGCAGTGAATGTGAGGGGTTGAGTATTCACTGAAAGAACTGTGATGGGGGCTAACCAGAATATCTGGGGAAAGAGGTGCAGTCTTCCCCAACTTGAGCAAAGAGGAGGTGCCTCTTCCCCCACCTGTGAAACAGCTCTGGGCTTGAAATCGGCACCCTAGAGACAGAGCCTGGTGGCACTGGCAATTCAGATGCCCTGCCCAGAAAAAGCCAGCTGTGCTGAAAGACTAAAGAGCCAAGTAAGGGCTCAATGCACTGAGCCACACCAGCTGGGCTTTTTTTTTTCCCTTAAAGATCTTAATTTTTTTCTTTATTGATGTTAGAGAGAGAAAGAGGATGGCAGAGATAGAAACATCGATGAAAGAGAATATCAATTGGCCACCTCCTGCATTCCCCTCACTGGGTATTGGGCCCACAACCTGTGCATGTGCCCTGTCCAGGAATCAAACCGGCAACCTCTTGGTTCATGGGACGATGCTCCACTACTGAGACACACCAGACTGGCAGAAAAAACATATTAAAAACCAAGAAGAAAGTTTAAGGAAGTTTTGGGATAACACAAAATGTAGTAACATTCATATCATAGGGGTTACCAGAAGGAGAAGAATCAGAGAAAGGAATAGAGAACATGTTTGATGAAATATTGACAGAATACTTCCTTCACTTTGTGAAGGAAAAAGTCACACAAGTCCAGGACACATAGAGAGTCCCAAGCAAAATGAACCCCAAAAGACCCACACCTAGATATATCATAATTAAAATGGCAAACATTAAAAACAAAGAAAGAAGCTTCAAGACAGCAAGAGAGAGACAGAAAGTTGCCTGCAAGGGAGATTTCATTAGACTGTCAACTGATTTATCAATAGAAACACTGCAGGCCAGAAGGGAATGACATAAAGTATACAGCGTAATGAAGAGCAAGGGTCTGATTCCAAAACTACTCTATCAAGCAAGGCTATCATTCAAAATTCAAGGTGAAATAAAGAGCTTCACAGACAAAAAAGCCTAAAGAAATTTCCTACCACCAAACCAGCACTGCAAGACATGCTAATGGGACTGCTGTAAGAATAACAGAGAGGGGGGTGGAGGGACACAGGCATAAAGAATAAAAATGGCAACAAATAAGTACCAATCAGTAATAATCTTAAATGTAAGTGGCTTAAATGCTCCAATCAAATGACATAGGGAACTGACTGGATAAGAAAATATGTCCCATATATATGGTGTCTACAAGATACCCACCTCAAAACAAAAGACAGACACAGGAGGAAAGTGAAGGGATGTAAAAAATATTTTCAATGGAAATTGGGAACAAATGTAAAGCTATTGTAGCGATACTCATATCTGATAAGATAGACTTTAAAATGAAGGCCAATTAAGAGGACCTAAAGAGACACCTCTACAAACAGGACATACAAATGGCCAAGAGACATATGAAAAAATGTTCAGTGTCACTAATCATCAGAGAGATGCAAATTAAAACAATGAGGTATCACTTTACATCTGTCAGAATGGCTGCCATCAACAAATCATAAAACAAAAAGTGCTGACGAGGGTGTGGAGAAAAGTGGACCCTAGTACACTGCTAGTGGGAATGCAGACTGGTGCAGCCACTATGGAAAACACTATGGTGTTACCCAAAAAATTAAAAATTCAACTGCCATTTGACCCAGTGATCCCACTTCTAGGGATACACTCTAAGAAGCCTGAAATACCAATCAGAAAGAATATATGTACTCCTATGTTCATAGCAACACTATTTACAATAGCTAAGATCTGCAAACAACACAAGTGACCATCAGTAGATGAGTGGATGAAAAAACGGTGGTACATATACACAATGGAGTACTATGCAGCTGTAAAAAAGAATGATCACTTATCATTTCAGATGACATGGAGAGACCTGGAGAGTATTATGCTAAGCGAAACAAGCCAAGCAGAGAAAGACAAATATCACATGATCTCACTTATTTGTGGAATATAATGAACTAAACAAATTGATGAACAAAATAGACCCAGAGTCATAGAAGTAGCGTACAGACTGACAGTCCTCAGAAGAGGGGTGAGAAGGGGAGTAAAGGGATAAACCACAGAACTTATATGCATTTATGTATAACCGATGGACATAGACAACAAAGCTGGCAATGGAGGGAGTGTCAATGGGGAAAAAAGGAGAAACATATGTAACAAAAATAAATTAGTAAAAATATGAAATAAAATAAAACAAAGGCCAATTAACAACCAACATCTGCCCTATCCTCTGGAAATCCTCTTATACTGAACACCTGAGAACGTTTTTCACTCAGCTGAGGGCTACAACCCAAGGCTCATCAAGTAACTAAGACTACTAGCCTCCAGGCAAAAAGGTAGAAGATAACTGAACCTTCCCTGGACATGCAAATCTACCTAGGAAAGTAAGACTTGCCAGTAATGTTGAACATGGGTCCTCCTACACTCAAACAAACCCAGTACAGGGAGCTACAAACAGCAGAACACCAACACGCAAAGGGAAAATTTGGCAGGCTCCAAAACCCACTGAGATAGCCAAAATGGTGAAACAAAGAAACAAATCCAAAGTGAAACAACAAGAGAAGTCTACTGAATGAGATAAATGAAATACAGTTAAGTTATCAGAGGTAGAGTTCAGAGCCATGATGTTGAGGAAATTCAACTGCATGAGTAAGGACATCAACACCATGGGTAAAGATATAGAAACACTGAAAACCAACCAAGTGGAAATGAAGAATGACATAGCAGAAATAAAGAACACATTGGAAAGACTAACCAGCAGAGTACAAAAAACTGAGGACTGGATCAGTGAATTAGAAGACAGGGTAGAGCCCTGGCCGGTTTGGTTCAGCGGTTAGAGCGTAGGCCTGCGGTCCTGAGAGACCCGGGTTTGGTTCCCGCTAAGGGTATATATCTCAGTTGCAGTTTGTCCCCGGCCCTGGTCGGTTGTGCGGGTGGCAGCCACTCGATGTGTTCCTTTCGCATCAATGTTTCTCTCTCTCTCTCTCTGTTCCTCTCTCTCCCTCCCACTCTACCTGAACAAAAAATGGAAAAATGTCCTCGAGTGAGGATAAAAAAAACAAACAGAAGACAGGGTAGAGAAAAAATTAACCAATCAGAAAACCAAAAGGAAAAAACAAGAAGAGAGCTTAAGAGAGCTGTGGGACAACTGGAAACATAACAACATTCACATCATAGAAGTTTCAGAAGGAGAAGAAAATGAGCAAGGGTTAGAGAATATATGTGAACAAATTGTGATGGAAAACTTCCCTAACTTGGTAAAGAAAGAAGGCATTCAAGTTCAAGAAGCACAAAGACCGCCAAGTAAGAAAAACCCAAACAGGCCCACACCAAGACACATAGTAATTAAAATGCCAAAAATTAAAGACAGAGAAAATCCTAAAGGCAGCAAGAGAAAAGCAACAGGTTACCTACAAAGAAACCCCCATTAGG